AAAAAAAATATGCATCTGAAGTTGATCATTGATTAATCTGATTATTTAACTATGCATTTTGGAAAACAATGTAATGCATGCAACTACATTTTCAAGTCAAGTCAGATTTTATTCCATTCAAATCATTGAAATCCATGATGTTAATGTTTATAATACCTAAATGTTTACATTTAACAGTTTAGTGCTAGGCGATAGGATCATTTACATATGGTGATAACATGAAAAATAAAACAGTTTAGAGTTGATTTATAACACTTTTTGGGATTATAGTCTACGTATGTGGATAACAACTTGTAGAACTTGTAGTTACAAGTTAGAGTTATTAATACATTATGCTGTGATATAGAAATCTGTAAGGTTATTTACACACAAAAGAAAGATTAAAATAGAAAAATATTTTAAGTTGATACTTCAGTTAAAATGCTCATGTTACTTAAAATACTCTGCTGAATAGGTTGAATTTGCACTGACACAATCATAGTCCAAAGGCCCATTCACACCAAGAACAATAACTATATTAGTGTCCACCTGCGACTTTAAATTCTCAAGCTCGTTATAGCAGGATTGATTCTGATTGGATGTCAATGTTTTTATCGTTCATCAACTGGAAAAAAAATTTCTGAAAGTGATTCCAAAGATATCGTTTCGCTGTGCCTTTATAGCTGTGGTGTGGACTCTGCTAGTCTGTAATATTGAGAATGATTTTTAGAACTATATCTTTATCATTATCTTTATAGTTATCGGCCTTGGTGTGAACAGCCCTTAATTCACCAAAATCCCAAAGTCCAACACCTTAATGCAAATATCGTACAATGATTTTTAGCTTAAATCAGGCAGTGATTATCAATAAATAATACAGGATGGCAGGACATGATGTGATTGTGATATACAGTAGACAAGCTGTCATTTTTTTTCTGGTAGCATGTCTTGTCTCATTTCCATTAAAAGTGTATTAGTGCAAACACGTTTCTTTTTGTTGTTGTTTTTACAAGTCCTTTAAGGTCTACTCGAAGCATCTCCTCTCAGATTTTTTAGAGGGATGATTAGCATTGCGAGCTTTAGCCTTGTGTCTGGTACGGATGGTGTAGGAAACGTCAGGCATTTCACTCTTGTGATCCTTGGCTTTACTCTTCCTTCCTTTCCCATTAAGATCATCATCATCTTCACAGTCATTAATATCCTCATACATCAGATGTTCAAAGGAACTGCTCAGTTCATCTATAGGCTGATTCTGGTCGTTGTAGTCTCTCTGTGTTTTCCCAGCAGCTCTGTGCTCGAGCCCGGTTCTCATTTTCTTGATGAAGTCTTCACCCACCAAGCTCACAACTGCATCCTGCAGCTGTTTGAAGAGCCGCTCGGCGCTCGAGCCCCTCACCAGCAGACAGTCCAGAGTGATGCCTCTCCTGAACTCTCCGACAACATGGTGCACCAGTGTTCCACGGTACAAACTAAACAACATGAGAGCAACACATTTAGTATTCATGTGCAACAACACCGGTGGACACTTTTAAAATGTAAATTTAGAATTCATTCTAATATGCAGATTTGCTAACATTTCATATTATTATAGGTGTTAAAAACAGGTTAATATTTTTGTGGAAACCATGATAAATGTTTTAGGGCTTCTTTGATGAATTGAAAGTTAAAAAGAACAATATTTATTTGTGAATTTTAAAGTATTTTAAAAAGTACTTTTAATCAATTTAATGCATCCTTGCTGATTAAAAGTATTAATTTCTTGAAAAAATTTTTTTTTGAATAGTAATGTGTATATATGGTGTACACACACACGCACACACATATATATATATATATATATATATATAAAAGAATGTTTTTTTTTTCAAGCATTTTAAATTACATTTGGGAGGTTTCATTGAGGAAGCAGAATTTTTAACATTGGAAATCAAAATGATAATTATTATCAAATAATGAATGAAAGCTTTCAAGATGGTTTATGAGTAATAAACAGATGTTGTACCATGCAACCTCTGGTTCAGATACAGGAAAACACAGTAAACTATTGAGACAGAGACTCCACTTCAGGCAGGACTGCCACTGGCTATATAGATGAGCCGTTTCATGCTCCAGATCCATCCTTCTTCCAGCAGCTTGTGGTTTCTTAGGTGTCAACAGCATGTCTAAATCCCCAAACCAAAAAATATCATGTTTTCACACTTTTTTATGTTACGTACTGGCTTAACACATTTCAAGAACCTCAGCAAAGTTTTTGCCATTTTTCCCATTCCATTTAGGTAATCAGTTCCTCATATCACCATTACATGACAATGGTGGCATACACAGTATGTGCCTGAGGTTGCTTTATTACTTTATTGCATGCTATACAGTATATCTTCTGTTAACATTATAATGACATATGATAACTTCAATACCTCTATGTCTTTTAGGTGTACTGCTGAACTTTCCATAGACCATTCCCAGCAGCAGCCCCCAAAGATGCACTTGGGATGGCTGAGGCTGTGCGTTTACTAGCCAGTAATGTGTCACAAACATTTGCAGATGTAGAGCCGGTTGGATCCCTCTGAACATCTCAGACGACACACCCAAAGTGTCCAGGAGCACCTGAAGTTGCACACTGAGTGGTTCCTACATTAGAATGACAAATACTGTAAACCACACAATTTCATTTCACTTCAAAAGAGAGCTAAGACATCTTCATTACCTTCCGTAATGTTTTTAGTTGAAGTCCTTCCATCACCCCGGTCTGTATGGCTTCAACTTTCTGACTGCTTAGTTTCGATTGCTGTCTGCCGTATTCTTCTACATAACACTTACTTGTGCCAGTAAATGTTTTTATGTCTAATGCTTGTTTATCTGCTGTCTGTTGTTCTCCCAACAAAAGTAACCCGTAGATCACCTGGCGTATGGGACGAGAGGTTTCACTGCTACAGGGGAGTTGGAAATCTTCAACCTGAGATGTCATAAAAACCCTTTGATGTACCAATGCATCGATAATGGAGGAGCTCATCTTTCCCTCAAGTAGGAGCTTCAAGGTCCATTTAGGTAGAACTTGCAGAGGACCTGTACGAGCTGTACGGGGAATCGTCTTTGAGTGGAAGAACTGGGCAAGAGAGCCAGGGAAGAGCTTGTACTCGTGGATTCCCTTGGAAAGTGCTTCTTGGGTGATGGCTTTTTCTTTGTCGTCCGTTCGTTTCAGCAAAGCACTAACAGCTGCTTCTGGCTCTGGAAACTGGCATAACCAGTTAAGCAAACCATCAATGTGGGCATGATGTGTGCCAGGAACTGAGTACTCAGCCCAAGTCAGGCATTTGATATTTTGCAGCTTCACATAATCATTGCCTAAGATGGAAGCAAAAACTGGTAGAAGGTCTATGTTCATATCGAAAGATGCACAGAATTTGCCCACTGTAAAGTGTTTGGCTTGGATGAATTTTTTGTTTGTCTGTCTGTGCACTTTCACATTTTTCCACTGGAAATGTGTGATTGGCAGGAGTCCCGCCTTGATGTTGAATATATAGAAGTCACTGTCATTGGACAAAACTGGACAGTTCCACTCTTCAGCCAAAGCAGCAATTTCCCAGTCAGCCTCTTCAAGACACTGAACCAGCGGTACCTTGAGCTTATGAAGGAGCTGTCTGAAGACACTTTTAACGAGAATAGGAAGGACCTTCTCTTTCTTCCCCACAGACAGGGCAAAGGCCGCATTTATTTTGTCCTGTTTTCGTTGCCTAATAGTGTCCCATTTTTTGTCAGTGTGGTCAGCCCCGCCATCAAGTACAACATAAGGGCGAATGGCACAGGCTCTGAGGTTCTTAAAGAATTGAATGATCAACTCCTCAAAGGCGTCATAGTCTCCTCCATGCATCTGATCCAAATTACAGTCATAGTACAGGGTGTAGTATAAGTTACATCCATCGATTATAAGTTGTTTGTCTCTAAAAGCCCAGCTCCTTAAATCATTTCTGTTCCTGCTTTCAATGTAGGTCTTCAGTCCTCTGACTCCCATGTTGACAAAATGGTTATGTCACTAACTTTAGCAATATTAAGTCTTTACTTGCTGTGAAAGTATAATAAATAATTTTCCAATTATTCAATTGTAATTATTTATTCATTTATTATTTAAATTGTATAATAAGTTAAATTGAATAATGAAATTTAATATCAACTATTAAACATAAACAAATGCGTTGTCACGGTGACGATAATGATATGCAGCACAGTGACAGCTACGGAACTTTCTTCAAACAACAGCAGTATAAACAACTACATAATTCCTCTGCTATGCCAAATGTCAAATATCGTTCTTGCTTTGGACAAGATGTAACTCTAAAGTAATATGTTTAAGCAGAAATAATATTACAGTAATTAAAAAGAACTTACCGAGTGGTGTGCAAGTGTGTGAGGCGTCTGTGCGCTGCATGTATCTGGATACGATGTAGATCTTATTATATAAAACTGACTGGAAAGCGAAACTTACGATCTTAGGACGTTAGGTATTTCCACGAAAGCGAAACCATGGCCTCAGGATCATAAATAAAAAACATGACCGTCATGGATACTTCTAATATAAATATATTCATGAATCACCTGGGTGTGTGTGTATGATGGTATTTATCCCTGAAACATGATTCCTAACAGGCAGTAGCCTATTTCGTTTTAAAGAGACACGTGAAGCAACAAATTATTTTTTAGATGCATTACTCTCCAAAAGTTTCGTTTGTTCGTTCATTCATTCTGTTTATTTATTTATTTATTTTCAGATAAATACAGTGGTGGTAAAATGTTAAAAGAACAAATTATAAACTAAACTATATTAGTTTATTTATTAGTAGGCTACTTAATTAGCACTCTTCATGATCAATACCAGTTTGAGGCAGTTTATGCAAAGCTGTGAAAAGAGCGTGCATTTTGAATGACAAATATGCTTTGCAAAAAATGACGTGCTTCATTTATAACAAAGCATATTTGTCATTCAAAATCCCAACCACACGATGTGATTTGGTTCAGTGAGAAGGCTGTGATACGCTTATGAGGTAAGAATATCTTTATGTGGAGATATTAGAGATTAGATATTAGATTTTAGAGATGTATAACAGTCAGCCCAATGAAGGATGACAATATGTCTTGTTGAATGTATAAATGTTTTTTTTATTATTATATTTTTTTTTTACAATGAATACTGATATTAATATATAAAGACTGGAAAATACATATTCAACTTTTAAAAAAGCATGATACATTAAGAATTTTGGAAAATATATCAGATCAGATGGAGAATTGTTTTTTGGGGGGGGGGGATAACTAGTTTATATTATTGAAACATTTCAAAGTAGGATATTTATTAGTTCATTCTTATTATTGACAGTGCTTATAAACAATCTTCATGAATATTTAAGAAAATTGTTTTATTTACATGAATAATTATTTATTAGTTCATTCTCAATAACAGTGCTTAAAACAATCTTCATGAATACTAAAGAAATTGTTGTATAACAAAGTAAATGTAACGTTTCATTTAATGAATAATTATATGGTTGCATTATTTACATTTTAACAAGGTTACTCTTGTCTTAAAAGGTACGTTTTGTGAGTTCATATGAGTGAGTTGACGAGTGAGTACGTGTTTTTTGTCTCATAGGTGTTCATGTATTGTCAACTGTCAATGTGCTTTGTACATTTCATTAGATCAATCACATTATTTAAAGCCAGATAAAGATAATTTTTTAAAAGTTGTACATTTTCTTAAAGTAAACTTTTTAAGTTGATACAATTTAAAATATTCTTAATTTAATTTAATAAAACGGATAGTTTCGGTCCTTGATTCTGATTGGCTGAGCCACGTTCGAAGCTGTTGTAAATTACTCTACAAACATACACCTTTGTTTACGTTTGTGTGTTGCTCAGCAACCACTTTGTTGCAACCACAACTGATTCTGAGGAGCTACATTGTTTGGTGGAAGAATAATGTTTTTATTAATATCATTACACTTTATTTGCTCTGTTTTATTTTGTGAAACCTTACTACGTATATGGAATAACCGTTTTATAAAAGCAATAAGCCCCGTGAAGCCGTGGTTTACAGTGAACTTATAACAGCTAAGGGGGTTTTAGGCACTCCGCTTCGGATGCAAACTGCAAACTGTTGCCTTTGTTTTTTACATTTCTAAGTACACTCCGTTGTTTCACTGCAGCAAATATATGCTAATATAAAAACAAGTGCTCCTGTAGCTCTCACACTATTGATTTACAAAGCTATAAAACAAGCAGTGTGAAAATGGTGTAAAATGAGAATGGTATATTGCAAAATATCAAACAAATTATTTAATATGTCTGACACATAGGGTCACATGTTTTTTTCTCTCTCTCTCTTTTTCAGATCACTGACTAAAATCAGGACAGAAATCATGCTGACTATTCTTCTGATTATGGCAATAACTGGCCAAGGTAAGAAATGCATCATTAGTGCTTTCTAAATAGATCCATTCTTCATATATTGCTGTTTTAGTCCTCTTGAGGCCTAATAAAAGGCATGTTCTGTCGGCATGATATTAATAACTCTTGGTTTAACAGGTCAATCATGGGACAGCCTTGGAGAAAGCTTCGTCACAATATTCCCAGAGAACATAGCCTTCTACTATCCACTTAGTCCAGTGAACGCTCTCAATATCACCGCTGTCCTTCCCAACACTGTGGTGGAAGTCTTCATCTCAGGGCAGTTGACATACACAAACACACTGCCAGCAGGAAAGCCTGTAACTGTGACCTTGCCAGTGGATATTGAGGAATACCAATTCGGTGAAACTTCTCAGACTGTCAGAATCAGCAGCACGAAGCGCATCGTGGTGCAATCAATCAGCAAGAAAGCAGACAGTGTGCAAACTAATGTCATTCAGCCTCAGAAAAATCTTGGTACAATTTATACCATCCCCTTGCTGAATTACAGACAGATGATCAAAACTTTTTATCAATCGGCAAGAAATGTCAGCAAGAGATACAGCTCCTTCAGGCTGGTTATTATCAACGGAGAAGATCGGATTAATAATGTCAGAATTGTAAAAAGGCCTACAGACGAGATTTACATACTCGATCCGTTCACCGCTCTCCAGCTTCAAACTGATGGGACAGAAACTGAGATTTATTCTGATTATAAAGTGGCTGTGATGCTGACCCATCCATGTGTAGAGGTGGAAGAATGCAGATGCAACATGGTGCTGAACCAACTTTATCCCGACGCTCAGTGGGATAGCAGATTTGTTGTACCCTCAATACTCAACACCAGCAACTTTTGGCTACATGTGACGTCCTCAATGAAAACCAGTGCCAATGGCGGGGATCTAGAATCGAGTACTGTGGATGCCTATTCCTCAAAACTCCTGTCCCTTCCATCTCTGCAGTTAGGATCCCAGTTCATCAACACATCGAATCCTGCTTCCCTCAGGCTTGTCAGTCCAAGCGGCATCATCATTGAACCGATCTCCCAATATAGGTTCTCTGCGTGCTACCTAGTGCCTGTCAGCTCGACAGATGCCAAGGCCTTAATCATAGCAGAAACATACTACAGGGATAGTGTGTATATAGATAATGATTTGCTTTTATCTACTAAATGGAGTCCCATCGCCAATTCAGTGTACTCATCGGTGTCAGTGTCTCTTGATGACACACACATCATTTGGCACCCATCCACAAAGATCGCCGTGTACGTGTTTGAGAAGAGCACAAATGTGTATGGAGGCCCGGCTATATCTTTAAGTGCAAAGCCAGGTAAGAAGTACAGTATATCTGTTGATGGTTGCTTTTTTTTTAGAGGGGGATGGTGATGTCAGCTATATTCATAATTGTTCTTTTTGTATTATGTAATGTATTATGCTAACATCAACACAAGTGCATGAATTGCTTCATAGAGATAGTTCATCCAAAAATGAAAATTCTGTCATTACACTCTTAGAAATAAAGTTTCTTTATTGGCATTGATGGTTCCATAAAGAACCGTTAACATCCATGGACACGTTCAACGGGCAAAAGGTTCTTTAGAGTATTAAAATGTTCTTCACATTAAGAAAAAATGGTTATTTTAAGAAAGGTTGAAAGGTTCAACCCAACCCAAAATGGTTCTATGGCATTGCTGTGGAAACAACGCATTTGAAATCTTTATTTTTAAGAGTGTGTTTACATTCCCTCATGTCAAACCTCTATGACTTTAAGATATTTAAAAAATGCTTTAGTGTTTGTTGTCCATATAATGAAAGTCAGTGGGGCAACATTGAAACAACATTGGACCCCACTGACTTTCATTTTATAGACAACATTTTATTGACATCTAAAGCATTTTTCATTGTAAGGACAAAAACAGTTCTTCAAAATATAGATTTTAGTTATGGTCCACAGAAGAAAGAAAGTCATATAGAACATGGAATGAAATGAGGGTAAGTAAATGACGAGAATTTTCATTTTTGGGTGAACTGTCCCTTTAAGTAGGGGGAAATTGGTATAGTTCAGGGTTCCTCAAATCTTGCCCTGGAGGGCCAATGCACTGCAGAGTTTAGCTCCAACCATGATCAAACTCACCTACCTGTGATTTCCTAATGATCCTGAAGACATGGATTAGCTTGCTCAGGTGTGTTTGATTCGGGTTAAAGCTAAACTCTGCAGGAAAGTGGATCTCGTGGGCCAGATTTGAGGATACCTGCTCTAGTTATTACATTACTATTTCTAAAGTTAGATACATTTTTTTTTAAAGTCAATTTCTGTACACACAACTTGTTATCTTTCCACTGTTATTGCAAGGAAAAAGTTCATAGCTCATTGAACGTTGACCCAGTAGCAATGCATGTTGTCACAATGTAAACCTCCCATTAATAGAACCGAGATTTTTTTGCAAAATTTTAGCAGTAAAATAATTAATCAGCAACAAAAAGTACAACGTAACCTACAAACATATCCAACCATTGTTTTTGCTAACAGAACTTGTAATTAATAAAATGTATGAAAGATAAAATAATATGTGACAACATGCCCTGATCTGATATTTACTTTTTAAAAGTACATTTGTCATATAAGCAAAGTTATCCTTTTGGTTAAAATCTGCCATAAGTTAACACTATCCTGAATGTGTACTAGTGTGGTTTTATTGTGTTCACTTGTTTAATCTGGAATTAAAGCAAAAAATAGGATGATATCGGAATTTGGAGAAGTAAACTGTAAAAAAAAAAAAAGTATTCTAATTTATGAAAGTATTGAACAAAATTTTTTGAAGCAAACTTGAAAAACACACACATTTGTATTTGATTTTTGTCTTTAAATCTTTTAGTTACTGAGTGTGGCAACTACACTCTTAAAAATAAAGATTCTTTATTGGCCTCTATGGTTCCATAAAGAATTTTTAAAAATGTAACTAAGAAAAAATGGTTCACTCTTAAAAATAAAGGTTCCAAAAGTGGGTTTTCACAGCGATACCATATAAGAACCATTTTGGGTTCCCCAAAGAACCTTTCAGTGACGAGGTCTTATAAAAGAACCATTTTTTTTCTTAGTGTGAAGAACATTTTAATAGTATAATGAATTTTTTTCACTATAAATACACTTTTGTGCAATGGAAATGTTCCTTGGAAGACAAAGGCTCATGGAACCACAGATACCAATGAAGAACCTGAATTTTTAAGTGTTCTTTTCAGAAGTCTTCACTGAAAGGCTCTTTGGGGATCCAAAAATGGTTCTTCTGTGACATCATTGCAAAAAAAACAAAAAAAAAAAAAAAACTTTTTGGACCCTTTATTGTTAAGAGTGTATGATAATTCTATACTTCCAAAAGGAGTTTTCACAGTGATGCTATAAAAAAAAAAAAAAAAAAAAAAAAACTTTTTGGACCCTTTATTGTTAAGAGTGTATGATAATTCTATACTTCTTATGTACTTACTCAAACATTAGTGTTGTGTTTGTGTGCATTTAGACCCTTTAGGCTGTGCGTTTGTTCCTTCTAAGTTTGACATCATCGTTACACCTCAAACCTGGCCTGAATCTCATCAATACTGTAAGCTCATGAGTGACGAGTTATTCAGTCCCAGCAATGAAGAGGCCCAAGAGGAGATGACCAACATTCTGAATAATGAAGGTATGAATGAGAGGCTCTGGATCGGTGTGCGTCGCAGTCTGATGACGTTAGAATGGTACCGGCAGAAAGGTAACAGCTCACACAACTTGCCATACACTTGGTGGGGAACCGGGGAGCCAGGTGATGCTGTGAAGGGCATGTGTGCTTCAGTATTCCCAAACCCAAGCATGGATTTCCATTGGGAAACTACGCACTGTTGTACTCAATTGAAGTCGATCTGCTACACAAGGGCTCAGTACTTTCTGATCTCAAATGAGACAGCTAGTAATTCTCATGTTCCAGAAAATGAAGCTTAATAATAAAAACTGGCCAGGGAAAACAAGTTGCCAGAAGTTTAAGGTAAAAAAAAAAAAGAGGATGACATTTTTGTTTCTTTATAGTTTACCATTTATAGCTGTATACATTAAATGATATATTGTTAATATACAAACCTCATTAACCCTCATGTTGTGTTGCAGTCATTTTGACCCAGAGAGAATTTAGCTTTTCCTGAAAATCAGTTTTTGGAACTGATCGATCATAGGCCTCACTGATCTGAGCTTATGAACCTCAGTTTTTGAGTGAATATTGCCAAAATTATCCACAAGTAATGTGGAGGTGCATAAACTTAAAGCCTACGATCAATCGGTTCCAAAAAGAAACTAAGAATCTGTTCTAATTAAAAGAAAAAACACGTTGACAAAAGATTGAATTCAGGTTTTGGTGATAATATAGCTTAACGAGAGATTTACAAGCAATATTGGCTGGTCATTTTTGACTGGTTTTCAGCACAGCATAAGGGTTAAACCAAAATAAGTCTAGTTTATGTTAATAAATAAGACAGAATAAAGATGTCAAATTACATATAAGTAGACGTGAAGTTGTTTTGTCACAAATACCTCCAGAAAGTTCACATTACTATTATAACCATGAATACTGTATGCAGCCTTATCTTATGCTCTTATTCACAATGTTCACACTGTTTATCTAGAAACATTACTTTTTATTGTTATTAGCACTTTATATTTCCAAAATGTGGATATATGCTTTCAGAAGTTTTTTTTTTCCAAATAAACTTTCAGACCGCAAACCTTGTGCATGCATTGTTTTTCCTTTGCATTTACATTTATGCACTTAGCAGACAATTTCATTCAAAGTGACTTACAATACACTCTCAGACAAAAAAGGTACAAAAGCTGTCACTGGGGTGGTACCTTTTCAAAAATACACCTTTGTTACCCTTTCTTTACCCCTAAAAGATGCATATTGGTACCTTAATCTCATAAGTACCTTGGTACCTAAATGGTATTTTGGTATTTGGTACCTAAATGGAAAAGATACCTCCTCAGTGACAGCCTTTGTACCTTTTTTTCTAAGAGTGTAGAGGAGTGAGGAATTGAGTGATGACTCTGCTGTGAGAATATATAGCAAGTGTTATATGACTAATACTAATGTCACCAGCTCATTAGGCAAACTTGCGTGGAGGCACTAAATGTGTTTTGAATGCAAAATGGGCCTGTTGTTGGAAAAACACACAAAAGAAGATTACTTTGCTCAGAGAGTGGAAGACCTGTGATCTTGAAGCATCAGGTAAGTCATCAGGTTTACATAACAATATGTTAATACTGTACTACATGAGTATGTTTATGATCTGTCTGTTGTTGTTGAAAATGCACTATGGGAATTCAGGAATAATTTCTGTCTGATTTAGTATTGGAACTACAAATTTAGGAACATTTTGAACTAAGAAGTTTAACTCTGACTCGGGCTGTGTCAAGAAGTTAATGATAAACTTGACAATTATGCATGGGTTATGTTTGTGACTTCATAATCCATGTTCACTTTTATAGCACTTATAAATGTAACATTGACATTAATCAGTTTTGTTTGAGTCAATTATATTATTTATTATGACTGAATCAAAAATAAATAACTCATTCACGTAAGAACTGCACAGCTTCACAGCTTTATATTCCTCTTAAACTCGTTTATGTACTCTTTTATTTTACTCTTTAAATTTCAGACATGATTATTATCTCTGCTGGAAAACAACAATGAAAACATTTGAAAATCAGCCTAAGCTGGTTTGTTGGTCTTCCAAAACAAACCAGACCAGACCAACAAACCATATCAGGCAGCTTTTTCAGCACAGGAGCAATAAAAGACAAAAAAAGACCAGTTTTATGTATCAGATTTATCCATCTCTTTTTTTCTAGCTTGGTCAAACACCAGTAGCTGCTCAAATCAACTGTCCTGGAAACCGCAGAGTGACCGTGATGCTGTTTCATCTTATCTTCATGTCATTGGTTTGCTCGGGTAAATCATCTTTCACATTTGCACAGTTGCACACGTACAAAGTTGATGTAATCACTGAATATATAAATCTCATTGGTTTTATTGTTGTTTTATGCGTCATTACACAAATTGTTCTGTATTTTACAACATAAAAACTGCATGTAAAGGGTAGTGTATACAGTCAGCTACCATTGACAAGATGGTCAGGTCTTCACCCTGTTTTGAGTTTATTTTGCTATTAAACTGACTGACTGTACATTCTCTAACCTGTTACACAGCTGCTTAGCAAATCAGTGGGCATGACATATTGATCTGAGTCGAAGTTTTTTGAGAAGAAAGAGTACAGAGTGACACATGAGAAACTAGACCTTAGGCTCACACTGTGGGAATGTTATTTCAGAATATATATACTCTACAGAGAATATCTATATCTGTATAAAATTCATTATTTTAAACTGATGATTTGATAGGGCTGTCAGTGGAGAGCTATGGAAGACACTTCATCACGGCATTCCCAGAAAACACTGCCTACTACCATCCACAGGAGTCCTCCAACACGCTCCAAATTACTGCTTTCTACGACAACACCCTCGTCTCAATCACCATCAACTACACAAAAGTGTTCTATGATAAACTACAATCTGGGCAGTCTAAAATTGTGCATTTTCCCAAGTACATCGAGCAATATCAGTTCACAAACTCCCCTCTTTTTGTCAGAGTCAACAGCACCCAAAAGATCGTGGTGCTTTGGCTCAGTCAGCGTGGGGACAGCGTGCAGTCTAATGTTGTTCAACCTGTAAAAAATCTCGGAAAGTGGTATTCAATCCCATTGATCAATTACAATCAGATGATGGCATCCTTGTACAATATGACAGATAAGTTAGCTCCAGACAACTGGAGATACAATTCGTTCAGGCTGATCATTATCAATGCTGAGAACTCCGTTAACTTAATCACTGTCCGAAGTATCAGCCCGGATGGTCCAAAAGCATTTAATATTACGCTCAGGCCTTACGAACTTTACCAGTTCCAAACTAACGGTTCGGAGATTCAATTGGACTCTTTTGGCACCATGGCTGTGCTGTTAACCCACCCGTGCGTAGAAACTACAGGATGTGATTGCAATATGGTGGTGAGCCACGTTCTCCCCCGAAATCTGTGGGGTGACACGTTTGTTGTGCCGTCGGTGAAGAACCTGAATACAGCTTGGCTGCAAGTGACTAACACAACGAAAGTGAGGCTCAAAGGCGTGAATATAAAAACTCAGCAGTCCAATTCTTCAGAGCTAATTCCCTTCCCGGAACTCAAGAGTGCGTCTCAGTTAATCAGTGCATCAAATATGGTGTCCATCAGACTTATTAGTCCAGGCTTCGTCTTAGAACTCATTCCAGAAACCATGTTCGCCGCTTGTTACCTGGTTCAGATGAACTCGACAGAAGGTGAGGCCGTTATCATAGCTGAAACATCCCGTAAGAACTATGTGTATATAGATGGCAAATTACTTCAATTCACTGACTGGAAACCCATTCCCTATTCAAACTACTCTTCGATATCTGTGTCGCTTAGTGGCACGCATGTCATCTGGCATCCAACCTCCAAGATCGGAGTGTACATGTTTGAGAAGATGGAGGGTGGAATTCCTTACGGTAGCCCAGCTGTCATTTTAAATGATGACCCAGGTAAAATTATACCTTTTTTTTTTTATCCAAGAGTAAATTAAAGTCAACATCAAATGATACTTACCACCTTTTTTACTCCTATTTTAGGAAGGATGCAATATTATGTGGTTTATGAAATCAGGAATTGATTGAATTGTGATTGGATTTGCTAAATTAGGATATTATCATATGTCTGAATGGCACATGACATGAAATTGGTTTCAATTGCAATATGTTTTATATAATTATATTCATTTATAATGCATAAAATAATAATACTACTAAACACTACAGCGTAAAACTGGTATTTTATTAAAGGAATCCATGCTTTTACTCAGCAAGGATGCATTAAATTGATTTAAAAAAAAGTAACGGTAAACACATTTACATTGTTATTAAAAAAAAAAAATTCTAAAACAAAAATGCATCACAGTTTCGACAAAAATATTAAACGGCATAGCTGTTTTCAATAAGAAATGTTTCTTGAGCAACAAATCAGCATATCAGAATAATTTCTGAAGGATCATGTGACACTGAAGACATGAATTAATGGCTGATGAATATTCAGCTTTGTCATGATAGGAATAAATTACATTTTAAAATATATTACATTAGAAAACAGTTATTTTAAGTAATAATATTACTGTATTTTGATCAAATACTGTAAATACTGCCTTGGTGTGCATAAGTGACTTTTTTTTCACAAACATTTAAAAAAATCTTACTGACCCCAAACTTTTGAACAGTAGTGCATACAAATAATTTTGTCATTTTTAGAGTTTGACAGTAAAAATCAGTGTCCACTTTTATTGTATGGAAATGACTAGCTCAGAAAATGTATATTTAAAATATCTCTTCCTGACATTTCCTTATGAACATGTAACACACATTTTCTTTGCAGTAACATAGACAGATGAATCATACAAGACCAAGAATAATTTTTTAATTCATTTGGATTTCATGCTGACTAATATACATAACATCATACTACTTGAAGTTACATTAAAATGTGAATGAAATCAAAATTCACAGTGCAGACTGTAAATGTGTCAACGTATGTTTGTGTGCTCACAGATCGTGATGGCTGTGTGGCAGATTCTGCACATTATAAGACCACTACTGATGTCATGACATGGCCCGAGTCCCATCATTACTGCTTAAATATATCTTACCAGCTGAGCACACCAAGCAGCGAAATGGCCCAAAAAGAGATGACCAACTTTCTGCAAAACAACAGAGGTCCCGGGTATCTCTGGATCGGTCTGCGGCGCAGTCTGTTCACGTCAGAGTGGTACTGGCAGAAAGGCAATGATAGCGAATCCAGCGTGAGCTTCACGAAGTGGGCCGATGGGCATCCAGATATGCCCTGGAAAGCTTTGTGTGCTGCTGTGTCCCAAGACGCCAACAAGGAGTTTTCCTGGAAGAGTATGTCCTGTTGCTCTAAGCTTGGGCCCATCTGCTACAAACAGGCCAAATACTTCAGTGATATGACCTTTAATAGACTATATGATCATTTTAGAATTACTTACCCAAAGGTCTGTCCTTCATGTCCAAATTCTTGACCTTTTATTTGAAGTTAGTAACTGCAATAATAAATCATATTACAAAAGTTTAATCATGATTCTTAGTAAAATTAATCAAATTGCTTAATTATAGAAAAGCTAACTGTCTATTACAGAGCTGTTACTTTATAGTATTTTTTGTTGTTTTATGTGCATAATATAAAGCAATATTAACATTTAAAAATATATGGATCTTCTGAAAACACAATAAAAGTATATATATATATATATATAATGGCTTCACATACTGTTATTGCACAAACCAAAACTGAATATCCTCTCAAATATGACAACTATCAAAACTTTAATGTCTAATGTAATGCATGGTGATCTGAAGTGAAGACAAAAAAAGTGAAATTAGCTCCTGTTGTAGGTGAATACAAGCATATGTCACAAGATCACAGTGCTCTTAAAAGTCACTATAGACACCTTCAAGCCTATTAGGCTTGATTCTGGTGCATTATGGTTGACTCTTACAGCTCACCATCGCCTCCATTCTGTGATGTCATTTAGGCAAATCAGGGGTTGTAGCCTTTTAATCACAGACACCTATAGACAAAACCAGGCAACAGTTAGCATTTTACTGAATTATAAATGTGGTTTTGCTTGTAATTTTGGATCACTTGTGCTGCTTTACAGATTCAGCTGTTTTCAATAAATGTTCAAATTCATAATCTGTTGTAAGTATTCACCTTTATTGCATCCTATCCATATGGGACTAGTTTGTGTTTTATTTAATGCGTGTGTTCATCATAGATGTGACCTGAGCATCACATGTGAGTGAACTTGTGTCGCAATGTACTCTGCTGTCTTGTTTTCATCACTTTTCATCAGTTACATTTGGCTGTGGTAATGCACTAAATACCTATAGCAAAATGGTTGCAATAACAATTGAAAACATGATTTTAAACACTTTGAGCAAATCTGTTTGATGTACAGTATGGTGTTTTATTATTAGGAATTGAACAGCAGAATTTTGCATGGTGAATGTCATTATAGCAAATCATGTACTGAAGTCTTTTGTTTAGCCAGGATCCTATGCAAATCTGAGAGAAAATCAAGCATTTTGAAAGTCAAATGTTTCTAAACTAAAATAAAGCCAAAGAGGTGATTTTTAGAGAGAAGAAGAGTACTGACCAAGACATCAGGTAAGAGATTTTGTTGTAGTTAGAGGTGTTAAGGTCAGCATAGCAGATGACTTCTGTGGATAATTGCTGTTCTGAAATGTGTCCTTTAAACGGTGTACAATTTCTGCAAAGAATATATATACATAGTTGCCTTGTGCTGAGAAATTTTTAAAATGTGAAAAATGCTTTTTTGTTTGTTTGTCTTGGCTGATTTTTTTTATTTTTTTATCTTTAGATATCTTTACAAGACATTTCTGACATTCTGAGGCTTCAGAAAATCTTTTTTCGTCATCAGTTTAAATTACTTTGTTCTAATTAGTTGCTTTATGACGGTTTTCTTTGTTGCATGTAATTAAAACATTCATCTATACACATTAACATGTACCATAACATATTTAGCAATCATTTATTTCCATGCGGTTTTTGTCTGTTCTAGTGCCCAGAGAAAGTTAAAGCCACAATCATGCTTATCTTTCTGCTCCTCGCATCAATGTTTCACCGAGGTAAGGGAAGAACATTTACTATATCTATGACAGCAGTTTGGATAAAAACAAATAAATGTAAATGTAACTAATGATAACTAATGGTTTCCCCCAAATTGGGCAGTTTTTGTGGGCAGTATTGTTGTTCCACCTGAAAAATGTTTTAGAGCTGCAAGTGATCTGGGATGCAGTATAGCCATTGTCAGACTGATGTGTGAGTGATCTCATGCTCATGTTCAGTGAACACTTTTATTTAAGGTCTTACTGTGGTGGGCTATGGAGACAACTTCATCACTGCCTTTCCAGAGAACATTGGTTTCTTCTATCCGTCTGGTACCATAAAACATCTAAGGGTCACGGCCCTTCATGACAACACTAACATCAAAGTCTTCTACAAAAACACACAGAAAGACCAACAAATTCCAAAGTCAGGGCAGACCATGAGTGTTGTGTTTCCAACGTCTGCTGAAATAAATCAACTAGGCTCCTCGATTTTATCTGTCAGAATTACCAGTGACAAAAACATCACAGTGGTTTCTATAAATCAGCGGGCAGGCAGCATCCAGTCCTATGTCGTCCAGCCAACGGTAAATCTCGGCACAAACTATTTGATCCCTTTGCTGGATTACCCAGAGTATCTTGAATCTTTCAACCTACCTAGGCTTGTCAGTACAACCATGAGATACAGCTCATTCAAGTTACTCATTATCAATGCGGTGGACAGTCAAAACGATGTCACTATAGTCAAGCAAACATCAACATCAGGTACTCACGAACAAGAGACGTTCAGTATGGATTCCTACCAGCTGGTCCAGCTTCAGACCAACGGTTCTGTTTTGAGGGTCAAATCGAGCAAAGAAATCGCTGTGAT